TGTGACTAGCAGTAACCTTCATGAGACTAGCAGAGACCTGCAAAAAATATGCACTTGATTGCATGTACTCCCCCTTCACCCAAATCACATGTATACTGACCTTCCTGCCTGCCTCTTTGGAGCAGTTTCTCAGAGCTATCTGAAATGCTGTCTCCTGGGCTGTAGTCCTTGTTTTGCCCCAAATAAAACTTAGCCCCAAATAAAACTTAGCCCACAACTCTCATGGGCTTAACCAGGCTTTTAGAGAATTTAATTTGGCCAAGTCACTTTATGTACCACGATTGCTACCAACCCCTTTCTGGCAGGCCCTGGGTCTCTGTGAAATCTGAGTGAGGTGCTGGGCAGCGGGTGATCCTCGGTCTTGATATTGGCACCCCGCCAGAGGCTGGGCCCTCTGGTCAGGGCTGCCTTTCAGGATGGAGGGCAAAACAGGTTTTGTGCACTCCTGGAAAACGGTCCCCGCCTGGGCCTCGCCTACCTTCAGGAGAAAACAGTCCTTTTAAGGAAACCCAGGAAAAGGTGGCTGCAGCCTCCTTCACCAGCTCTCAGGAGTGAAAGGTGAACTCAGCTCTCCCTGTGCTGCTGTGGCTGGGGGCTGGGAGGGCATGTTCAGGGTGGGTGCCTTGGTCACCTGGCCGTAGCTCTGGCCACCCACTAAGCCCGCTCCTGGCTTCTCTGTAAAGGAGCACAGTGGGCCTTAAGTTCTCTTTGGATTTGGAGAGGAGGAAGAGCATGAGTACTGTGCAATGTGAAAGGATACTTTGATGGTTCTCTAGTGGGACAGAAGAAAATCAGCTTTACCAGAAATGAAAAGGCACATCATCAGTTTAGTTGTGTGTGTGTGTGTGTGTGTGTGTGTGTGTGTGTGTGAGCGTCAGAGAGAGAGAGAGAGAGCCCAAATGCTAAATCAATGAGTTTCTAAGGCATTCTGCACAAGCTTTCTAAACTGAGTTCACGGGGGAGGACCCCACCCAGGTAGGGCCGAGTGAGCAGCGTGAATTCTAGGACAGGGACTGATCTCGGGGGAATGGCCCCACATGAAATTCCCTTCCCTGAACGGAGCTCCTGGGCCAGATATGGAAGGTTCCATACACTGGCCGCCAGGAGTGCAGACCCGGCAGCAGGGCTGCCAGCGTTCCAGATCAGCTCTGTCACCCAAGTCGCTGGGACCCTGCCTCAGTCTCCTCATCTGTACATGAGATAATAATTGCACCTACATGGTGATGAGGAGATAGATGAGTTAGCACAGGTTGAAGTGTGGACCAGGGTCCCTTGCAGAGTGGGTCCTTGACAAATGTGAAACCATGATTGTCACTGCTTGGGACCTGGGGACTTTGCAGTTCAGTTAGCAGAAACATTTACCTAAACTGGGAGTAAATTTACAAATGAGCGTATAAATTGCCTATTGGCATCACTCCCTTCCGGAAGATTCCCTAGCGGGGCTTGGCGCCCCCTCCCAGTTTCCACCCCCCACCCCCCATAAGCTCACCATCTCGCCACAGGCAGTAGAGGGGTGGGTCTCTCCAGCTGGCCCTTGAGCTCCTTGAAGCCAGGAGGAGGGTCACTGTGTCTCTGCATTGCGAGTGCCCTGTGCAGGGCTGGCCTGGGGGTGCTTTTGCCTGTTGGCATCTGGTCTCAGAGGCATCTGAGTTCTGGAGATGACAGGGGGACCTTGTGTGATAGTGGAAAGTGCTCAGAATCCTGGAAGTTAGAGGACCCAGATTCACATTTTGGTGCTGCCTCCCTAGTTCCAGTCCCGTCCCCTCTCTAAGTCTGTAGAATGGGGTGTCACATGAGCTGATGTGAATGCCGTTTGTCATCCCCAGGGGTACTTGGGCATGCAGGAGCGACTCAGCCATTGGCGTTTCCAGCGGATCAGGTGGCAGAGTTGTCCTGTTAGGCGAGTGGCGTGTGGTGCTGTCCACAGGAAGGCACCACGGTGGAGTCCAGGGTGGCTCATTTTTTCCGTGCTTTCCACACCAGACTGCTGTTCAAAGGCTGCAGACGAGCAGCTGGCTTTTAGGCCCATGTTGTAGGAAAGCATGCTCTCTTTTAACACCGGGACATCTCCCACCACCAACAGCAGCATGGTGGGTGGGTGCTCCCAGCAGCGGCCCCCGAGGCTCATGGGACCACCTGGGAAACAGTGGGCCCTGCACCCTTTTCCTGGGCACCAGCTCATCGTGGGTGAAATTGCTTTTCCACTGTTACACGGTTACTTCTTGCTCGCTCTCATTTTTTAAAATTGTGGTGAAATATGCATAACATAAAATTGACTGTTTCAGCGAATTCTAACTGTACAATTCAGTGGCATTATGTATGTTCACAGTGTTTGTGCAGCCTTCCCCACTATCCATTTCCAGAACTTTCTCATCATCCCAAACAGAAACTCTGTACCCATTAAACACTAACTCCCCATTCCTGC